CCGGGGGCCCGAGGGCCGGGGCCCCGGAGCCAGGCCTGAGCGGCCCGGGCCTTCCGCCGTCGCTGGTGAATAGGTTCGCGTCAGGGCCGCCTGTGCCTTTGCAGCTTTCTCCAGACCCGGAGGCTCCCAAAGCGCCCGCGGAGCGAGACGACGAGGGTCTCGGTTACCGAATCCTGCTCCTCTCAGGCGCCCGGCGGCCGAGCGAAAGCCGGAGCGGACGTTCCCGCCGACGCCTCACTCACAGGCTCCTCTCTTCACCCCCGTGCCCGTCGTTCGCGTTGGCACCTGCCGCACGAGGGGCGCTGCGGAGCCCTGCTGCGTTCTTCATGCGCCCTTTTTCAAAAATACCTCGCCATCAGCGACCCAGTTGTCGCTCCATTACTTCCTGTCAGTGCTGGATGACAAAACCTTGAACGTAAAAAAAAAATAAATAAAAATAAATGTTTTCTGATACAGCTGTAAAGTAATCCATTTGGGGTAACACGGGGTGAATAGCGTTCATCGCTAACGCAGAGACGTTTCCCTGTGGATTCCTCAAGGGGGAAGAATGGCCACGTGCCGCAGCCCGCGGGACGCGCGGAGCCGCGTGGACCTGGGCGCCCAGTACATCACCCGCACGCCCCGGTACGCCCGCGCACACCACGGGTGAGTCGATGCCAGCGGAAGATCTATGGATTCTCGAAACATGTCTGTTCTTCGCCTGATTTATTTATTAACACAAAGCATCCGCCGAGCTGACCAGAGGACGGTTTCTAGTTATTATGTAGTAGTATAATCTCTAAGAGTTCTTGTAAGAGAATATGGTATGTTAGAGCTAATGATGGTGTATAATTATGTTATATATTGATTTATTTCAGTTTTTATGATGAGCTCTTAGCTCATGGCGTTTTGAAACCTCTGACCTCTCCTATTGAAGGAATGGTGACGAAAGAAGGAGACGCTAACTTTGTGGCACCTCAAGGAGTTTCTTCAATTATTAAGCATTACTTGCAAGAATCAGGTGGGAATAGGATTTTCTCTGCCTTCTTTTAAAATAAAAGTTATACCCATAATTAAATATTAATACTACAAAGAAAGTTATGAAATAGATGTTCTCTTATTTACCTCTCAACGGCTAGTTTTCTTCCCCTAAAGTAGCCACTAATAACAGTTTCCAGTGTAGGCTTCCAGAGAAATGTTTATGCATCTATCTAGTAATCTACATGGCTGCCTCTATCGATTCATGTATGTTTATATTTATTTAAAAAATATAGACATGGGAATTTTTACATAAACCATTCTATACCATGTTTGGCCTATGTTTATAATACACCTATCATCTATCTATCATCTATCTATCATCTATCTATCTATCTATCTATCTATCTATCTATCTATCTATCTATCATCTATCTATCTATCTATCTATCATCTATCTATCTATCTATCATCTATCTATCTATCATCTATCTATCTATCTATCTATCTATCATCTATCCATCTATCTATCATCTATCTATCTATCATCATCTATCTATCATCTATCTATCTATCTATCTATCTATCTATCTATCTATCTATCTATCTATCTATCTATCTATCTATCTATCATCTATCATCTATCTATCTATCTATCTATCTATCATCTATCTATCATCTATCAGTTCTCTCTTTCTCTCTCAGCAGTGCATTTAGTTAGTGTTCACATCTCTTCAGCTTTCATCTGATCAGTTCTGAACTGCTACTCCCTAAAACCTATTTGTAGGAAATTATAGTAGGAAAATGACTTTAGATTTTTCTCTTTAAAATGGAGGAAGGTAGGGGATAAAACTGTATAAACATAACAGAAACACATTTGCTTTTGTAAAATGTTTAAACCTTCTTAATATTCTGATATCTTTATAGCTCTCTTTAAAACATTTTATTAAATATTATGTTCTGGGGAAACAGTGGTAAATAAGGGACATGGTCCCTGCCTTTGGTAATGTAGAGTGCAGTAGAGAGGAAAGACATTAAACTAATTACATACACACACAAAGGCACATAATACATGGTAAGAAGGAGTGAGAGCATTATGAGAGAGTGTATAAGAAGAAGACCTAACAATGTGAGTGGGGGGAGGGGGAGAGAGATGTCAAAGTGTCACTGAACTAATGTTTTCATGGGTATCTGAAAGGTAAGCAAGAGTGAATTAGGCCAAGAGCTGAGTGATGATAATTCCACACAGTGGACACATGAAATTGGAACTGTTCTAATGTAGGAGCAAGTTGGTGCATTTGAAGAACTAAAAGGTCATTGTGACTGGAGAGTAGTGAATGAGGGAGAAGGTGATAAGAGGAAGTTCAAGACTAAGACGGGCCAGATCGTAAGGGGCTTTGTAAGTAATGTTAAAGATTTTATACTTTATCTTATGTGCAGTGGGATGCCATTGAAGAATATTGTACAAGAGACGGAGGTGGTCAAATCTACTAAGCCCAGAATTAACTCTCGAGAGATTTTATGTAATTCTCTTTTAAAATGAGAGTTTCCAGAGCCTACAGATTTTAACATGTGGACTTTCTGACAGTTAATAGTTAATTTCATAAGGAAATGCCATTGCCCCAGAAACTTCACTCCTAGTAGCAGGAAGAGAAGCTATACTATCACTCCTGACTCTTGGCAGGGTACTACTTTTTGGGTGATTTTACCAGTCGTGGGGTTGGATTTGGGTCTGTCATCTACACCAGTGGTTCTCACACTTTAGTGTGCATCATAATAAGCCTGGGGGTGGGAGAGTGTTTAATATAGACTGCTGGGCCTGATCCCCAGAGATTTGGATTTAGTGGATCTGGGCTGGGGTCTGAGAATGTACATTTCTAACAAGTTCCCAGGTGCTGCTGGTGCTGTTGGTCTGGAGCCCACACTTGGAGGACCACTGACATGCACCTTGCAGAACGCTTTGTGGTCACTGGGATACAGGCCCAAGACTGGATGGATATGTAGCATTTCTAGGTCAGTGGGCTTCAGTTCTCTTAAGCACACATAAATTCACCAGCACCAATAACAAAGTAAGCTCCTGTCAAAGGGAATATTATGTGGAAACACAACTGAATAAAATGTATGAAGTCACTTGACTTAGTTGAGGTCCAGGTCAGGACCAGGACTAGAGTGAGGCACCTAAGTTGGGAGTGAGACATCCTGAATAAATAAAACAAAGTGAGGTGGAGCCACTCTCATTGGAGTAAAGTAGATGGTGGCTGTGAGTGGAAAGCTCCAATTATTGGTACCTTCCCCAAGCAGGGGCCTTAGCGAAACCTTCAGGCAAGTTGAAGCACTGTTTCCAAGCTCTTGCTCTCAAAGAGAAACTGATCCCAGGGCCTAGTTACCATCATGTTTCTTCTAACGTATTTACATTTGATGAAAAAGTTTGAGTACTTGCTATGTTGTGGCCATTATTTGAGGGACAGTGAAAGAGGTGAAGGGACGTGAGATCGGGAGACCTGACATGGAGGAGCCTGACATAGATAGATAAGACATACCTACAACCTACAGATATTTTAAATTAATGTCAGAATGAGTGGTAAAGGCAGTGGTGATCAAGGGATGTCTTAGATGAGACGGGTCACATTGAATTGGAGTAGCTACAGAAACGAGATTTCATGGCCAAGGTTGGACTTAAGCTGGCTCTTTCTTGGCTGGTAACATGAGGTTTCCTTTCAGTGTGCTTTTTTCTTGTTTCATTTTCATACCTTCCTTTTCTATTCCTGAGGCTGAATAAAAGTGAATTTGTTTTTAAATCAGAGTTTTCTGAAAACTGGCATGTGAGGTGAGTGCCAGTGGACCAAGGAGACCTACTGATCTAATTATATTTTACCTTCCAGTTTCTGATTCATAATTCATTCTCTTAAACCAGTGATTTTCAGCCGGTGTGCCACAAGAATTTTTAAAACATGCAATACCATACTATTTCGTTGGAGGTACTGACCTCTTTTCCCTTAGATTGTGAGGTAAAAAAATCACAACGGCCAATGCAACAATAGCTGTCCAGTATAAATGAATCAAAATTATACCTGTTTATTTTTTGTCAGATTGGTAAACAATATATTTTTTGGTGTCCTGCAGAATTCTAGTAATTAGTTTATGTGTGCCATGAGAGAAAAAGGTTGAAAATCGCTGTCTTAAATAGTGATTAAATACCTAGTAGGTGCCAAGTGCTATACTATATATGTTATATGCTATATATAGAAACAAAACAGACTTAATTACAGATGAAAAGGGAAGAAAATATTAATCAAATAACTACTCAAATAATTATTAAAATACCTTTGTGATATTCTAGATTGTATTTCTCTGAAGTCTTTTTAATAAAGGCAATCATCCATTGATGTGGCCTCGGATTTCTCTCACAGAGACCTTTTGCAGGTTTAATAGGGAATAATAATTCCTTCAATAGGGAATGTTGCTCTTCCTTGCTGTCACTAAAGGGAAGAATTAACACCTTTGCTAAAATGTATACTTGCTCCACAATGACAGTGAGCTCAAAGTAAGGGGGTATAGCTTTAAATTATGGCACAGCATTTCTGAATCTGTTTCCTTGTTTGTGAAATTAATCGATATGATGTATATCAAGTGGCATAGTCTTGGCATATAGTAGATCCTTAATAAAAATCCAGCTATGCTTACTATTATTATTCATTGTAATAGTCTTTTCCCCCCGGAACTGGCATTGGTAGGCAGGCCGACGGGTGCCAGAAGGCAATGAATTCCCACTAACTGAGAAAGAAAGTAGAGAAAGTGAACCCCGGGCACCGTAGAGGACAGACTACACCATTTTACACACCGGAATGGATGCAGTTGGCGACTCTTCTCTCCCCCTTTATTCATATGGACAGTTCAGCTTATGTGAGCATGATTTTGCCTTTGGAACAGGTGCTGATATCTATTTCAGACAATGTGTGACCCAGATCAACCTGAGAAATGACCAGTGGGAAGTCTCCAAGGAAACGGGCTCCCCTGAACTGTTTGATGTTGTCATACTCACGATGCCAGTTCCTCAGATTCTGCAGCTTCAAGGTGACATCGTGAACTGTGAGTCTCAACTCGTGCTGTTTTACTTCAGGGAATGGGATTTCTTTGAAAGAGCATGAATTCACCTTAACTTTCTTAGCAAAGGGTACAGATCCTACTGATTTGAATGTTTTACAAACTGATACAATGGCCTGGTTCACGGTCTTGGTCAAACTGAAACCCATAGGAGAATGTTTTTCCTTAACCAGTTAAAAGTTGAACAGTTTTCTTACTGCTCTTGCCTTATTTAAGAAGTAAATAATATGATGGATATGCGATAGTTTAGCCTACTAGAAGAGCAACCTCTTTGTGGCCATCGTGGAGAAAAGAAGGTCTTTATGATGCAAGCGTTGATATGTGAACCCCTGGTAAATCTCATCTCCGGTTGCTCTTGAGTAAGAGTCTCATGGTCTTCCCTACTTGGGATTTGTTGGCTTACCTTTTACCTGGCTTCTCCCCTGTCTTTTTTCAAAAACAGCTTTAAGATATAATTTACATACCATACAATTCACTCATTCAAAATGTACATTTCAGTGGTATTTAATATGTTCGCCAATATATGCAACCATTCCCACTCTCAATTTTGGACCCAAAAAGAAACCCCATATCCTAAAGCTATTACCTCCATCCCTCATCCCCATTCCTGCTCTTAATGCTAACAAACTGTCATCAACTTTCTGTCTCTATAGATTTCCCATTGCCTGGATTCTTAAGAAAAGCTTTTCTGTGATTCTGCTTTGCCCCTACCTATGCTAGGTTTCACTGATTTTTCTCCTGTCTTTCATTTTGTCTGAGCCTGATACATCAAAGTCACTGACTTCTAAAGGACACCCCATCTTGCCTGGAAGCCCACGGGTTATAATAAAGCAGAGCCTGGCGATGGCGGGCAAGGTTTCGGGTCATGTGGGAATCGCAGTGGATATTGCCGTACCTGTAGCTTCTGACTTGTTGCATGACTAAAGCTGACATCGGATTTGAGTGAGAAATGGCCTTCGATGCCACTATTAGAATGAAAACTAGTAATAAGTATGGTTTATAGATCATAGATTTAGAACTGTAATAGAAATTGTTCTGTGGGGAAGAAAATAGCTGCTTCTTACATCTCGAAAGTAATTTGCTATTCTTTAAATATCAGCTCCACCATGCAGTAACAATATAGCTTCTTTTCTAGTACAGTGTGAGGTAATAGTATAGAAGGGATTGAAATATTTATTATATAGCTGTATGCAAATTAGAAAATTTATTTCAAAGAACTCTACCATAAGTCTGCTTCTAGTCTGTTGTCAAAGTAACTTTGTGGGTCTAACACAAAAAGGTTAAAAACATCTGATTTTTCTTTTATAAGTTTCAATCATGTCCTCAGTATGAGGAATAAGTTAATCTTTTTTCTCTGTTTCTGGAGAAGTTTAAATACACTCTTATTTGAGTATGAAACATTTTGAGTTTCTATGAAGAGACATCCGTTTACAAAGCCATATATTGCCATCTAGTGGATACTGTTATATGTTGCAGTTCTTGTCTGAATTTTTAAACTAGAGGACTATGAAGGTGATTGAAATATAGAATATATATAAAACTATAACTATAATATAACTCACAAAACATCATAATATCACAGGGAAACAAATTTAGGCCCATTATAATTAACTAATTTACATAAAATTGTTCAGTTATCTTATGTTTACTTAGGTGTTTCCAGATAATACCAGCTAGCTGAGTTTTTAAATCCAACATGAAAACAGTAACTTGCTCTGACTTAGCTGTCCCTGTTTTCTCAGGAGTCTTTTATGAGTGCCATACGGTAGGCCCTAAGTCTCTACTTCCTGAATGAATGAATGACAAAATCTGAAATACGTCTTGAAGGACAGGCAGAAGGAAACGAAGGAGTGCTTTGGAGAGGAAAAAGGGTTTTAGCAAAAATTGGAACTAGAAATGCTTTTTTTATATTTTGGAGACTGAAAATTGACTGGGAACAAAGGCTTTGTGGTGGGGAATCTTTCAACCTCATTTCTACAACTTCTAGAACCTCCCATGGTCATTGATGGAAAAAAGAGAACCAATTCTTTTTACTAAAAGAAGTTTAAATTCATTTTTCCTTCACATTTTGCTGAAAAGATTTTGATTAAAAGCACAGGAAACAAAAATCTTCTCTTCATCAAGTAACATGCTTCATTGCTTTTTCCAGCAGACCATCGCCGCCGTAGAAGGGGAAATAATTCAGTTTCTAAACTTCTTTAGCTATTAGCTGCTTTGTTGGGGTGACTGCAAGCTTATGAGCTGAGAGTTCGTTCTAGTTAATCTTCTGTTTTTCCTAAAATTGCCTGAAAGGCAACCCAGGCTAATATTGGCCTCTCTGCCACTCTCCAGAAACTCAGGAGTCAGTGGAAATGGAGATGCTCCCACCATCTTGGAGGTTAGAGTGACCTGGCACCACTATTACTGGTGCTTACTGCCCACTCTAGGTCCTGGCAGGACAGAGGCACTTTCCCTACTTGTGTCCCTCTGGGGAAGTAATTACTGTGTGGGGGGAGGAAAGAGGAGGGATAACCAGATGATGATAGCCAACATCAAAGAGCATTTCGAGAATACTTATTAAGCACTTACCTACATTATATTATTTATTCTTCACAACCACCTTATGAGACACATTTCATCCCCATTTTATAGAAGAGGGAAGTAAGAAGCAGCGAAATTAAATTAACTTGTCTGAGGTCACATAGCTATTGAGTGGCAGATCTAGAGTCCAGATCTTCTCCAAGCTCTAGTAATTGGGGCAGTGTACCCTGTTGTCCCTGTACCCAGCAGGGATGTGTGTGCTCTGCCACACTTGATCTAAATGTATCAGTAATGTTGCTGTTTTGACTTTTTTGCTCCTGTACACATGCCGTCAATAGATATATGTTTGAAACCAGGCCACCAGGTTGCACCTCTAACAGGAGATCCTTTCTAAGGCTGCCTTCAGAACTTAGAATTTTATTTTTCATTCAGAGTTCTCTGATACCAGAAAAGCTTTAAAAAGAAATGTCAGAACTAGAGATGGGGTGAGATGAAAGAGCAGAGAGCTATAATTTATTGAATTGCATCATTATCACCAACTGAGTCACCAGCTGAATTCAATTAAGCTTCTTCCCATCTGAGCTGGCAAAGACACTTTAAAGAGAGGAGAGATTTGAGAACTAAGAATTTTCAAGTTCTGGCATAAGTCTCTGAAGATTCACATGAAATCTGGTGAACAAAAATAAAAAAGTATTACCACAATTAAATACTAATGTTAAAGTAGGGATTTTTTTAACTTTATGTTTATTTATTGACACTATTACAGATGTCCCCATTTTCTCACCCTTTGCCCTCCTCCACCCAGGCCCTCCCCCTCCTCCCCCGCCCTTCCCTCTGGCCATCACCACACTGTTGTGTCTATGGGTTATGCATATATGTGCTTTAGCTAATCCTCTCACCTTCTTTCATCCAGTCCCCCTCTCCTAAAGTAGGGAATTTTAAACATTAAGATTAAAAGAGAGGAAGGGAGGGATAACGGAATACCAGCATTGTGCATTAGACAAGCTTTCTTCTAAATTTGTTTTTTTTCTTTTTTCACAAATGTACCTTATTTAAGAAGTTTCTTATTCTATTGCATCAGATTTATGAGACATTCTGAATGGACATTCTGATCATCCATCTTTCTCCTGAAATACTGTTTCCAGAGTCTGACATTTTCTCATTGTGACTTGACTGTTTGCTTCTAGGAAAGAATGAGAGAGAGAACCTAAAACAGTATTTGAGTAGCTAGCACAAAACATTTTATGTGACCCAGTGTAGAAGTCTCTGTTGGTTTGAGGAAGCTGTTTAAATGTTGATCTTTCCTAAAATTTCTTCTGTGAATTGGCCCCCTCAGAATCACTCTACCCAAAGCCGAGTTTCCTTTCCATTTCTGTGACTTACTCGATATTTTTGCATCTTATAATTTTACTTGCCACAGGCATATGAGACCATGACATTTTATTCCAAGAAGAGGAATTAAAATCCAGTTTTATTTTTTAATGGTAATTGTAATCTTTTAGTCAGATGTTGAATTCATTTTTTAAATTATATAAATGCTTACCGAACATCTACTGTGTGCTCAAAATTGTTCTAGGCACCCTGAGTACAGCAGTGAAACAAACAATAAAAGCTCCAGAGAGCTTCTTTTCCAGCAGGAGCAGGAGAAATAAGTAAATATCTATGTGAGATGACAGTGTTGGGAAAGAAAATGAAGCAAGATGGGGAGATACAAAGTGAAAAGGGGTAATTTTGCATATAGTGTGAGCAGGTCTGTGACGCAGTGATTTTGAGCAGCAGAGACTTGAAGGTAATGAAAGTGTGAGCCATCAGAATATCTGGAGCAATATCCAAGCAGAAGTAGCTGCAAGTTGAAAAGCCCCAAGGTACGAGCAGTTTCCCAAGGAGACCCGTGTGACCGGCATGCAGTGCAGAAGGAGGGGCAGGGGTAAGATGAAGGCAGAGAAGCAGCAGGAGGCCCAGTTTATCTAGAGCTTGTGGGCTCTGATAAAGACATTGGATTTTACTCCAATGGAATGTTATTGAAGGAATTACACAATCTCAGATTTGAGGTGGTGGTCTCCTGCTATTGAGCGTAAGTTAGACTGGAAGATAGCTGAGCTGGCCAAATGGACTAATATTGTGAAAATACAGCCAGAAAGGAAGGTGGCTTGGACTATAGCAGTAGTGGTGGTGTGTTGAAGAGTGGTTGCAATGCAGATGTACGAGAATCCTTAGTTTTTGCCTCAGTTCTGTTCCTGATACCAGTTATCAAGGGTTCAGATAGTTAGGGAAAAAACTAAGGCATAAGTGATGCCAAGAGAGTGTTGGAAGAAAGATGTGATCAGGTGTGCTAAGTGCTGCCTCTAGTTTCATGTAAGAATTGGCTACTGAATTTAGCAATATGGAGGGCTTGGGTGACATTGACAATAGGAGTTTCTGTGGGGTACTGGGAATGAGAAAAGAAGAAAGGACATAAGATAGTA